CTTCGCGGGCGCAACCGTGGCTCGCACAACCATCAACCCGAATGGCACGGTGCAAAGGGCGATCTCATCTGAGGAAAAGTGATGAGCCAACTCCTGATTTCCCCACGCTTCCACTGACGCCCATCGACGCTCCCACGCCGAAGCCAACCAAGAAGCCAGTATAATATCTAGCGTGGACGCCAAGTGGAAACGCAGGAAAACCATGGCGAAAAACTCCCGTTCGCATCGGCACCGCTGGCGCCACCAATCACCCAAAACGTTTGAACGTGCGTTGCCCGTCCATCGAACTATGTTTCTGAAATATAATTTTGAACCCCGCTGAATTCTTTGATTTACCTGAGCTCGAACTGGTACAACCAGTTATATCGAAGCACTCCCGTGGACGACCCCCTACGCCATCGGAGCGCGATGCGAGACGTCCTGGTGGTAGAACCTATTTGCCCCAGCCCCAATGGATTCAGATGGAGAAGACCCCTCGCTAGGCACGCGCATGCCAGGCTCGATGCGCACAGACAGCCAGGCGAACTTCATCTTGCTGATGCCCCCTGGAGTTTGCGAGCACACTGCCACGCAATCCCGGGCTTCGGCCGCGTCCTCGAGGACTTCCAACAGCTATGGGCCCGGCGAGACACCCTTCAAATCAGGTTTGCAAAACTCTCCTGTCGCGTTTTGAAGCTTCGGGCTCTCGGAAGTCGGCGTGATCAAAACCTCCTTCCTGTCGTAGTCCTTGATCAACTCGGCGGCGGTCGCCGCGTGCCATCGAGAAACCCATCCCAATATGCATGATTGGCGCTCGCGCCCCCCGGCGCGGCAACGGTTGAAGAGGCCCTCGTTGATCAGAGCGAACGCCCGCGAGTTCGCGAAGCAAGAATTTTGTAGTACGCCTTGTTGGTGACATTCTTGAAGCTCTCCTCAAACAGCATGACGAAGATTTGCCTGGTCCACCGTTCCAAAGGCCACCGCAACTGTTCGATGTAGTTCTTAGCCCGCTGATCATCGGATGCTTCGAGGGATTGCAGCAGACGCCAACCTCTCTGCATCTCCAAGAGACAAGCCGTCTGCTCGATCTCATCAAAAGCAATAAGGCCAATGAACTTCCCAGGGTAGGTGTCGGACAACGTCATGCTCGACAACGACGCCACGAAGTTGAATCGCACCTGGCTGAGGTTATCCTCCTCTGAAAGGGCGGGATTCAAAATAAAACAAACGTTAAGGCACATGTTTTGAACCATCCGAAACAGATTTCAGCAATCACTGCTAGGGGGATTCTCGCTGGTGATCAGAAATGGCACCCAGCGGAGACGGTTCGACTGGGATTCGTTCTTGTGCGCCCAAACAGAAACAGGCGATGTGGCCCCAGGCTTGCACGAAATGCATTAGCACGTTGCCCATGAGCGAGTTAGCAGTTGCATCGACCGTCTTGTCCAGCAGCTAGGGAACAACGGCGACTTCGTAGGACCCCCCCCTGGACTGTTATGGGAAGCGTGCAACTTTAACCCGTCAGCTGCAGACGTTAATCCCTGGTGAGCCATAGGGTTTGAAAAAGACCGTGGCGTTCAATCAACATATGCGCGACGCGTGTTTTAATCTCGTGAAAAACAGAAGTCAACATCAGTCCGGTTTCCCCCCCAAAAAAAAACAACGGGGTGCATCGGGGCGCGTTGGGCGCGACTTTCTTCTTCGGGCTGCAGTTAACCTGCGGGGGCACGCCCATGTCCTCGGGGCCTGCGCGAGACCCACTGGCCCAACAAAGCCGTGGATTTCGACGATGGCCTCACGCATCGGCGATGCCGATTTCTTTTGTTTCTTTTCTTTTTAAAATTATAGGTTCGAAAAAATTCAACTGGCTTACAAATGCTACGCCATTTCCAGCATGCACAACGATAATGTATCTCGCAATTCTGCGCATGCCGCCCCCGCGCCGAGATGCCCCCCCCCCCCCGCCCCCACCCCGCGCGCGCGCCAAGTAACGACTGCGTTTCTGCGCTACTTCAAAAGAAATTCGAATACTACAACCTGAAACATATTGAAACCACCCAGTGCCCGTTCCGATTACCTAGATTGGCCCGGCGACATCCAAACAAACTGCATGACAACACCACGCGGGCTTCTATTACTTAATTATTAATTACCCAACCGGCGCCACCAGGAACGCACAGAAACAATGAAACACTGCAACGGAAATTTTACCTAGATGCCTGCTTAATGTACAAACCTTCAAATACATACGTCGGTTTCAAGACATGTTATAATGACACTTCGCCAAACAACAAACCTCAAAACAAACGCAAACCTTGCCACATCAACGCGGCGGCGCATGACGTCGCCATCGCGACAGCCGCGCGCCTTACCCCACCGCCCACCAACAATTGCTAAATGTCCCGGGCTACGCTTCGGAACCCCATCACGCCGCGCAGGCAACAAAAAGTGAGACTGACAACTCGAAAAAGGCGCTCGTAGCTCCCGCATTGCACGCGCGCTCCTTAGGATCAGACAGCATGACCCGCCCGACGCCTCTCAAGCTCCATCGCGCCCGTGCGATCTTGACCGCCCAAGCGGTTGCGCCCCCGCGGCAGCGGCGCTCGAGACCCTCGGCGGGCAGACGGTCACAGAAGATCCCCGTCGGCATGCCACTCCCCATTGGCACGCGTCGGCGATCGCAAAATCGGACGACTTCCAGGCCGGCGATCTTCGCGGCCTAGGGAGAAGCCACAGCCTTGAACGGGCAGGGTTCTCAATCGCGACAGGGGGGCCGAGCAGATGCATCAGCTCAAACATTCCGCAACAGAAAGCGGCGAGAACACTGCCGAGCCCCATCGCCTCCGCCTCGTCAAGACGCCGCGGCTCTGGCAAACCGCATGCGCGAAGGTCACCCCTGAGCCGTGACGGCAGCCCTTGTCGAGGACGATAAGGGCCTCACAGTGGCCCCGCGCCCCTCGCCCGCGCCCGGGTCTGACGCGGCGCGCCTGTGAAGACGCCTCGCGCGAGCCCCTTCAGCGCCCGCCCGCGCGCCAGCTGCTGCGCCGAGCGCGCGGGCAGGTCCCGCTGAGGCCCTCGGGGGCGGCCCCGCTCGAGCACGATGAAGCCTCGGGCTCGCAGCGCGGCGGGCAAGCCCCCGCGCCCGCTGAACAGCTCAAGAAGAACCCGCGGCTCGATGCAGCGGGCACCCTGGGGGGCCAGGGCGCGAGCGACGGCCGCGCGAGGGCTGGCGGGGCCCACGCCGCGGCCTCGCCCGTGCCCGCGCGGCCGCGGGCGGCTGCTGCAGCTGCTCCCCGGGCCGCCCCCCTTTTCGGCAGCGCCTGGCGCTGGAGTCGCAGTGCCACCCGACGCGCAGCTTGACCTCCCGCAGTGTCCGAGGCTGGGCCGCGCGGTCGTGGTTTGGCCCGCTGCGACGAAGCCGAGCCTTCGACCCCGGCGCGGACGCCGGCCAAGCGAAAGTTCTCGACCGGGCCGTCGTGGTCGATGCTCGCGATGCTCTGGCCAAGTGGCGTCTCGCGGCGCGGGAACGCCAGCGCGTCGTTGAGGAACTGGGGGCCTGGCAGGTCGAACGCCACCGTCTCGTCGAACTCGCCCGCGTTGCTGCTGACCTGCTCCTCGGGCGGGCGCAAGACGATCGCCTGCGCGGTCGCCTGGGCGCCTGGCGTGGGAAACGCGACCATGTCGCGCGTGACGCGCGCCAGCTCGCTGGGCCCCAGGCAGCTGTGGAACGCGACGGCGGCCCAGGCCGCCATCGCCCAGAAGCCCGCGCTCAGCAACTCCATGGCCAAGAGGGGGGCCGCCCCCCACGGCAGCGGCAGCCGCGCCCGCCCTGGTGCCAGCCGCTCCCAGCCCTTCAGCGCTTGCGCGGAGCGCGGGGGCGACTTGCCCCCCGCGCGCGCGCGCGCGAACTGCGGCCGAAAGACCTTCACCGCTACCAGGCCCTTGGCCCCGCGCTGCGCCAGCTCCCTGCTGGCGTGCTCGTTGCCCATCCAGGCGGCCAGCGGCGCGTCGAGGTCCGCGCGGCAGGCGGCGTGGCGGCCGGGGCCCGGCGGGCGCCGCGCGGAGGGCCGGCGGCGGCCTCTCGCGCGGCCAGCTCGTCGAGCTCCGCGCCGGCGCCGCGGGCGTCGGCCTGGCCGCTGGCACCGCTCCCATCGCGGGGGCCCCAGCAGCTGACGTCGGGGCCCGCGGCCCCCGCGGGGCCGTCGAGCAAAACGCCCAGGGGGCGCGTCGGCGCGACGGCGCATCCGCACGTTCCTCTCAAAAGGGATCCAGCGGACGGCAGGCTGGGCCGCCCCGGCCAGACACCAAGCGGCCCACTGCCTCGCAACCCGCAGGGCCCCCCCCGGCGGAGGAGCTATGCAAGGCGCAGATGAGCCCCATATTGTCGGACAGAAAAAGCATGCGACGCCCGAAGGACTTCGAAACGACCTGCCACCTGCCCCCGTGGAGCTCGCCGGGAACCTCGGGCACCTTCCACCTATCGTCCACCGCGACCTCCTGCTCCTTCAGCTTCTTCCACCTCTCGCCCTCCGCGACCTCCTGCCCCTGCCCCTGCCCCTCGATGGGGGCCCCCGAGTCCGTTGAGGCAGTCGCGAGGCCGCGATGCATCAGGACGTCGAAATCTCCATGCCTCCTCGCGCCTACCAGCGCATCGGATCATGTCGACGTCGGCCTACTTCCGACGCGCCCCCCTGCCCTCCTCGCCGGCGTCGCTCGCGGGCGCGGCGAAGCCTGAGGCGCGCGGGGGCTGGGCCAAGCGAGCGGGGCAAGAGCGGCGACCCACTGGAGCTCCCAGCAGACCGAAGGGGGCAACCTCGCGACACGGCTGAAGCATTTCCGAGCGAAACGGTAGACGGCGCAAAAGACAAACAGAAGGGGCCTCCAAGCCAGGGAGACGAACGCGAAGTGCCCCGCGACCTTCCCGACCTGGCGGCCCGAGGCATTGCCCTGAAGGCCCGAGCGCAGCCTCCGAGCACGCCGAGCTTTTGGGCTCGGCGGTCAGAGCCCTGCGACCCCCGTCG